CTGCTGGCTTTCTGGTATATACTCAACTCTTCTTATCAGAGGAGCTCAGAACCTCTGTGTTGCTAAGGATAGCTGTGGTGGGTGCTTTTCAGCCCTGATCCTTATTTTGAGCATGACTTCTGAGCTCCAGTGTAGAACCCTCAGTCTACCAGCACAGCTCCTTCACCCCATTGACATAGACTTTCTAGCTTCTACCACTGACCTTTGGGCTTTCCCAGAGTGGATCCGTAAAACAGACTGGTATGAATCCCTCTCGTGGGCTCTAGACCTCCTGCTGAACTTGTGGGAGGCATTGTCATGGACTCTAGGTTTTCATCTGGACTCATGCAGAGCACTGCTATGGGACCCAGGTCCTTGGCCTAATAGTCTGAGTTTTGAGTGTTGTGGATAGATTTCCTGCAGTTTTTGTGTTTAACTCCGGGTGACCATCATAAAATAATAATATAAATTCTGTGTCCTGATTCTATTTGTTCTCCTTACAACCCCTGACTACAACACAGAGATAAATAGTGCCTACTGCAGAGAGTTACTGGGATGATCAAATGAAAACCTTGAGTATTCAGTACACTTTGAAAATTACAGTAAATACCTTTAAAATATTTTTAAAATAATCACTGATGAGCAGCGTGTAGTGTGCATGCCTATAATTCCAGCATTGTGGAGGCTGAAGCAGGAGGATCACCATTAATTTGAGGCCTGACTGGGGTACAAAATGAGTTTAAAACTAGCTTGAATTATACAGTGAGACCCTGTTTCCAAAAAATAAAAATCACTGAGGATCAAGAATACAATAAGAAAGAATAGAGCTCATAAACATTTTATTGCTAGTAGTATTACATTAAATTTCATTACTGATTGCTGTGCACCTGAGATCTCATTCAGTCATCCACATCTTTTAAGAAATAAAGGTTCTTTGGTGATTTCTTCTTTTCAGAGAAGCAAACTAAGCATCAGAGAAGTTGAGTGTCATGTCCAAAGCCACTCAGCAAAAACATTGATCTCTTTCCATAGGAAGTCATATCAGTAAGTGTATTCTCTGGTGGGTGCGTCTTCTTGGACAAAGTCCAGATAAAACAAAACCAAAGGATATTTGATTGGACCTTGCAAGCTGAAGTAGTGTAACTTGACCTTTACCTCCCCCAACATGTTGCCATCCTTCAGCTGCCACATGGACCTGGTGTTGAAGAATGCTAGACTAGAGCACTGTGGCTAAAAGTAGCCTTCAGAGTCAAAAACCAGCATGTCAGTCTTTATAGCAGCACCCACCAGACCTGTGACTGTGAGATTCACGGTTCTAACTCCAGCCTTACATATAGGATAAGTATATTCCTTGGTCCCAGAGGAAACTGTAAGTCTTTGATCTCATTTTTGTTTAAAGACTTTTTAAAGACCAATTAGCATTCCTTTATTAACACAGCTTTTAAAATTGTGTAGGTAAAATTAATATGTTGAATTGTGATTTGAATACTCATTTGAAATATATTGCATTGCACAGGGAGTTTTACAACAGTAAATTAGTACTTCCATAGAAACTGCAGCACCAGATGAAAAGCCTGAGGAACCTAAAGTCAATCTAGCCGGTCTATAGCCGATCATTTCTTACTCACAATGAACTTAGGATCTACTTTAAGGAATGGGGTGAATGTCTGCAGGGTAAACACATCTCACGTAGTGTGTACTCAGGACAAAATGAGTATTATTATCATTTTTCAAATATTTGTTGAGTGTCTATAGAGTACTGTACTGGGAAATTAGTATATAACAGAAAATAACATATACTTCTAGCCAAGCACATAGAAAATGTGCTTGTAGAGCAGAGAAAGCTGAAGACCTGAGCTTGAGTTTGGTGTTCAAAGGACACTGTTTTCTTTCTACAAACCTTTAGTAAATACCAGTAATGTGTCAGATGACTCTTGTTCCCCCTTTGAGTTGCTTAGGAAGATGGCAGAACTCAGCCATTAACTGCAGCTCTTTATTTAGCCCTGTGACAGTTAAGCTTAGCCATCAGCTTAATTGGCTTGGAAGCCACCTAGAGCGTCAGTGATGCATACTCCTGGGTGTGTCTGTGTGAGTCATATAGGCATAATTTTGAGCCCCTCAACTTCTCTTGGATGCGGCTTCCCTACTTGGCTTCCCAGCTGTTATAAACTAGGAAGCTTTGCTCTGCCACGTCCTTTTACCATCATGCTTGGGCATTGAGGCCAGTCAAACATAGACAGTCGTCTGAAACCCTGAGCCAAGTGTGAGTATATGGTATTTTGTCCACCATGGGAAGGCCATCTGATACATAAAATCAGTACCAGTGAATAGGAGTCATTGCTGTGACCATATCAGAGCACATGGTTTATAAGCTTCTGGAACAGATTTAGGGAGGAGTGTGTGATGCTGGTATATCAGTTAGTGTTACTATGGGAACAGATTTAACAGAAAAATATATGAATTTATAAGGTAGGGTTACAGTGGTCTCAGAGTGAGGTGTGCAAGAATGCAAAAGCATGGTCTACATTCTAGACACAGAAAGGATCTACTCAAAAACCAGAGGTCTGATGCCTACTCTGGAGTCCCATGTGAGTCTGTATCAGGAAGCTGAAGAGTCTTCCCTAAAAGGCTAAAGAGTCTGCACTGGAAATCTGGAGATGGATGTCCTAAGGCGGTGGTGTAGGAGGCTGGGACTAAGGGTGAAGGAAAAAATAAGGTAGCTCAACATCCAGTTCATGGCTTGGATATTGCTGACTGCTTACAGCAAGATGTACAGGGAGAATCAGGAGTTAAAAGCAGTGCAAAAGCTAGACCACAGGTGTTGTGGTTTTAAAAGAGATTAGCAATGGGAAACAAAAACTGAGTACTTTGAAAAAGGATAAGAAGATGCCTTGAGAGCGTCTCAGGAGTTGGCAAGACCCACTCATCACAGGCTCAAGGATGTGAAAGTGTAAAGCCTTAATTCGAGAAGAAAATCCCTGGACCACATTCTTGATAAAAGCCATCTAGGTAATTGATATCATGGGCTTTATTTCACACTGGTCAGCCACCCAGCTACTCAGTCTTCCACAGCCATGGCTGCAGAGGCGTGACTGCTGCTCAGCTGACACCAGACGCTTGTTTCCTTCACATGATGCTGATTACTCAAGCATGCAGAAGGCAAGGATCAGGCAGTCATGGAGGCACCAACCAGATTTCAAAAGAAGGCCTGCAGGCCAAACAATTTTGACCTTCAATGGTATGTGTGTAAGTCTGAGAGTGAAACTGAAAGTGCAGTGGAGACCCTGGAGGTCTGAGATTCCACAATTGTGGAGCATACCCGTGTATAAGCTGCAGACCAGGAATGGAGCTAGCCCAAGAGACAAGTCCTATGGCCTGTGACCATGAGGTCATAGTGGTAGGATGCCCAGGTTCTCTGGGACTCACAGCCACATACCTCAGAGACTGTACATGGAGAAACAGAACATAACGTTCACACTGCTGGGTTTTGGTCTTGCTTTGGTTTTATTCTTTTCTATCTTCCTATTTTTCCCTTTTGGTATGAAGATGTTTACCTTGTGCCATTATATCTCAGAATTAAGTAATTTGCTTTCAGAGTTTTACAGAAATTCATAGCTAAGAGTCTGCCTTGAGTCTCAGAAGAATTGCCTGTGTTTTTTTTAAAATGCTGAAATTGATGAGGCTTTGTGGAAAAGATTATAGCATTTTTGGTTGTCTATAAAATAGTTGTGTCAGGCTAGGTGTAATTATAAACTTTATTGTGTTTATGTGGAAATGCTGAGTAACTGGATGTCTCTATGCCTCCTGCAATTATCAAAGTCATGGAGTTGTTACAGTAAATAAATGAACTTGTGCATTATTAATGTATATGATAGTCTCTGGTAGTCTCTCAAAGGTAGCTTAGAAAAAATTATTCACTGACATGCTTCTTTCATGACCATATGTAATGTTTAAGTAGAGCACTATTTTCTGATTGTACTTGCAAAAATCTGTTACTCCTATCAAAAAGAGTGAGAATTTTTATATTTGCTATAGAAGTTAAGGAACTTATTCATGTTCTAGGACTTCTCATTATGCCAGGATAAATACAGATTTTGAATAATAGTGGTGAACAGGAGATTTCTAGACACTAAGCAACGCAAGCGGATTCTAGAAATTTGCACACAAATGCATGATATTCTACCCCTATTTACAGCATCAAAGAAGTATGCTAAATGTATAAAAATAAACCTCTTTACTTTAGAGTACAAGATACTACTGCTAAATTCAATTGGAAAACTAATATCCAATGCAATTGTCTGTGATAAACTGAGGTTTAAAAGATTTGAAAACACTTTGGGAGCATATAAATCAGATAATCACAATCTTTTATGGCTGGAAAAGTTCAGCTGGTGTTGACAAGTTGTAAAGATAAAAGCTTACAGCACAGTCAAGAGTGAAATGTCTAGATTGGGTTGAGGATCAATGTTAATACTCAAAGTGTAAAAGCACTGAACTCCAAATGATCCTTCATAATGTTCTGTTTTTCTGCTTGACTTTCCAAAACAGAATAGTGTAGAACTTTGTTTTGTGAAAAACTTTTGTTTGTCATTAGGCAAATATAACCACCTAACACACCACCATAGGAATTGTGTGTAGTGAGAGGGTATCACCTACTATATTTGAAAACATTTCTAGTCGGGTGACTATTAATGTTGTATTATATACAACAGTCAAATTTTACAAATTCTAGGTTCCTTCTTTCCTTCCTTTCTTTCTTTTTTGTAATTTAGAAAGTATTTGCCTTGTGGCCTCAATCTGATCTTGGTAAGAGCATTTCAAAAGATGTTCCTTGTGTTTCAAAGGTTGTTTGCTTGAGTTGATTCAATGCTGTCCTAACAGAAGCCCTATGCCAATGGCAAGGTTTGTGCATATTGCACTGTGTAATGGATTTGCTACATTTAGGTGCAATCAGTGTGCTGATTGTGCCCCTAGGTGATTCCTCCACCATGTGTAACTCCATTTGCTTTCTTCTGTTATAGGAGCTGAGGGCACAGTTTTCCCTAAGTCTATAGAAACACCTAACGTCAGGGCAGACCCCTTCAAGGAGCTAAGGTAAGCTTCTGATTGTTTTGCATTTGTTAGTGGCTATTACCTTCCTCTACACAGTTGACCCATGATTCATTCTGAATAATAGTGATGGTGTTATGATAGATAAACTGAGAACAGTTGGTAAGTTATTGAAGATAAAACAAAAAAAAAGGCCTTTTTCTGAATACTAAAGAAAATTAAGGTTCTGGGATAAGAGGTTGCCACCTATGTAATTATAATAGATTCATTCTTTGGCAATAGAAGTTTGTGTCTGTATTTTGTGATGCTACAAACCTGTCCAGCTATAAATAGTTGAACTAATCAGTAATATGTAGTGACCCACCAAAAGAAAAGAACTATGTAGGAAATCTGAAGTCTAAATTCACAACAGGATTTTTTCTGTAACAAGTTGCTATTAAGGTTGGTATGATACTAGAACCACATTCTGCGGTCATTCCTTGTATTTATGATATTTTTCAAATATTTATAAGTGTGAGGGACTTTTGCAGAAAAAAACTAAGATGCAATGCACATTCTGCCAATACCTATGGATAAACAGTGATATAAAGATACAGCCTAAAAATAATTCCAGCCAATGAAGACCTATCCCTTACCCACTAAAGAAAAGCACATTAGAAATGGTATGTTCAAGTCAGGCATGGTGAAGCATACCTGTAATTCCAGTGCTCTGGGAAGGTGAGACAGGAGGATTATGAATTCGAGCCATATCCAGGCAACTTAGCAAGACTCTGTCTCAGAAAACAAACCACTTACATTGATACAAAAATGGTTGTAACATCTAGGATATAATTATAACCAGGAAGAATTCAGTGAATACTGACTGTATTCATTTTGGGTGATTCTTTTACCTAAAACCTGTCATAAATCACCAAATGGCCATGCATAGCATTGCATAACTACTTTCTAGTAGTCATCAACCATAGGCAGATGCATATGCTTTACATGAGCCATATCCACTCTTCTATTATGCAACCTCAAGTCTATACCTTGCTGAAAGCGTCACAGCTCTGTGGCAGCTTTTGTTCCCTTAAGAGAAGCATGTTCTCTGCAGTAGGAAAAGCATCTTCAGATTACAAAATCCACAGCATTTTTTGAGAAGCCCATAGGTCTTTGAGTATATAGGGAAATAAATTAGGCCAAAGGAAGAGAACAACCGTTGTGAAATGAATATGTTTTCACTGCAAAATCTCAGAATAGGGCTACCTTTATCCGGATTACACAACAGAATATCATGGAGTTTTACTGACATAAACTGTTTTCAGCACAGTTTCTATATGCCCAAGTTACCTGGCTCCCTGTCAGCTGGATCCCATGTTACGTATAAGATATAGAAGCAGGAATCTTTGAGGCAGAACCAGCAGAGAAAACTGCCCTTTTAAGATTCTTAGAGGGAATTCTTATTCTCTAAGTGCAGAGTCTCCATCTCTGATGTAAGAACTCTTTCCGGACAAGGTAATAAATGAACAGTCCAGTTCCCTTCCTTTTCACATTCTTTAGTAGGGGCAAGTTTCTTATAAAATGCACATTCTGCCAATACCTATGGATAAACAGTGATATAAAGATACAGCCTAAAAATAATTCCAGCCAATGAAGATATTATAGATAGTAAGTGATATTTTCATCCCAAAGAAAATGCTATTTAAAGGAAACTGAACTGTAAATACAATACAGAGTTGTTTGTTCGTTCATTTTGTTTTCTCCTCTGTGCAACAAGCTTTTCATTACTTGGAAGATTTGGCGAGTATAAGAGAGAAGAACAGGTTGATTTGGCTTTAAGCAATAAAATAAATCATCTGCAGTTAAAGAAAAAAAGTTCCAATCCAAGACAGACATGAAAGAAGCTCTCAAAAATTCCAATTTAAAAATGGCCAAATGATCTGAATCCTCAGTTCCCCCAAGAGATTAAACAAATAGTCAATAATATGAAAAAATGTTCAATATCACTATGTATCATGAAGGCAAAGCAAATTACAATAAGATGTTATCTTACCCCAGATAGAATGGCTATGATCAAAATACAGCAAAATAACAATGGTGGCAAAATGTATAAAGAGGGAACTTTCACACACTGTTGGCAAGAATATAATTAGTATAGTTATTATGGAAAACATTCTAGTTTACAGTTAAGTTTCTCAGAAAACTAGAAGAACTACTTTAAGATCCAGCTGTCCTACTATTGGATATGTATTTTAAAAAATTAAATAATCATATTCAACAGATACCTGCACTCTAATGATTATTTCAGGACAATTTGTAACAGCCAAGATACAGGATCAGTCATGATGTCCTTTGATGGATGCATGGATAAAGCAGTGTGATATGCATGGAATGTCAGTCAATCCAGTCTCAGAAACCAAAACAGTGTGGGTCTTAGGAATTGCAGTTGGGGAGACATAGGTTTAGAGAGCTCTGAATCAGTATTCTGAGGAAAGCAAGAAAAATATGAGCTCAAATAAGCTGTTGAATATTGAGAAGGAAAAGGGTTTGTGTGACCTATGGAAGATAAAAACAAGAATATATCAAAAGAATGGAAAAGTCCACAAAACAGAAGTCCAGGCGCCCTTGGATATGCACCTTGAGTTTCTGGTCATTCAGTCATCCTAGATGCATACGTAAAGGAGTGGAAGTGACCAAAATTCGCACCCCAGACGATAACGGGAATCATGCGGAGCTCTGTTTCCCAGTGTCCTCCTGATCCAATCGTAAGACTCCTTCAAAGTTGTTTTCAGTATAAATGTCCTTTTGCTTTCCAACACAACAGAATATTAATCATCATAAGAATGAAATTCTGTCTTGGCTGCAATGTGGATGGAAATGAAGGACATTATGTTGTGTGAAATAATCCAGATGCAGATAAACACTGTTTATTCATGGTCATATATAGAAGCTTAAAAATTGACTTTGTAGAAGTCAAAGGTCTGCAGTCATCAGGAGGGATTACGATAGATGAAAGAGGGGACATAAAGGGAGGTTGAGTAACAGGTACCAAAAATAATCCCATGGGAGGAACAAATACTAACATTATGAAACACTGTAGCATAAGTATCGTTTGTATAATTTGTTTTATATTTGATCTATGCTCAAATATTCTTAACACAAAAAAATTACAAATGTATTAGGAGATGCAAATGCTAGTTACCTTTATTTCCTCAGTATACATTGTACACCATACAAATTACCATAGATTGCCATAAAGATGTACATTATAAATCAAAGAAAAAAGGACAGCTTTCCATGTATTCATTGACTCACTTTAGAGATTCATGTCCTGAAGAACATAGCATATTTGCTCACGTAGCAAGTTGATACAGTATCTGTGCTTAACCTTTGGAAAACACTGGAAATTGCCCGTGAAAAGCTGAAAATTTCATGACTAGATTTCCTAAGTTTACTCTAGATAAATAAAAATAAAGATTTTGGATGAGGACTATGTTTTCACTACATACTCTAAAGTTCTGTATATATTCCACAGAGGCTAGACAAAAGTTTTCTTCTAGGAAGCATGAAAATATTTAGATATATTCTTCTGTTTGCTCTGATTTTTCAAATGATGATAGGCTGGATTGAGTCAAGAATCTGCAATAATATAATTCAGCATATTCGCCCTCCTGCAAATTTCTTTTTTTTGAGTGGTGCTTGGAGAGTCTCCAACTAAATGAAAAAATAATCCTGTATCATTTATAGGTAAACCCAGACAACTTTAGGAAAGCAGAACGTCTGTGTATGTTTCATATATGTCATTTATTTAATAGTGCCGTATCACCCTGTGCTGTTGATTGGTACTGGTCTTGGATACTGAGTCAAGAGATGATAAATTTGTTAGCTGAATCTCTTAGCCTCTGACTTTACAGCTGCATCAGACTTTCATAGCTACATTCATGCTAGGTTGTCTTCTCAACTTAGGGAAGCAGAATGGTTGAAATGAGGCCTCTGCACCTTTATCAATAGGTAGAAGAAGAGCCATTGAGATGAAGCAGAGGCCCATTTCTCAACGGTAACATAGTAGAGCACAAAGGACTGAGTGTCAGATGGTGCAACAAACCCTTTGTGTGTCTAATAGCTAATTGCACTGTCAATTAAAAAGTCATCACTCTTCTAGATTTCAAGAATTAACATCTTTGTATTATTGCACTTTTGTTCTAAAATAATTCTAAATTTAAACCAGAGTTACAGATTTCATGCAATTTTCTCATATACCTTTCACTCAGTTTTCTCTAACAACTTACAGTGCTATCATATCATACTCTGTTAAGATTTCTTTAAAGGAATGAAATCACATCAATATCTTACAAATTAAAAAATATATAAATACAAGTTTAACAGAAATGCAGTTTATTAAGATACAAATTAAAGGATCTTAAAAGCTCTCAGTAGATGTCTTAGTTATGTTCTCCTCGCTGACACCTGTAAATTAAAGGAGGAAAGGATTTTGTTTTGCTTTGTGGTTTATAGAGGCTTTAGTCCATGGTTGGCTATCTCTAAGGCATTGAAGAGGAAAAAGAAGTCACAGCACAGTCATGGAAAGCAAAAAGAGGGATAAAAGGACAAGGGAATGAGATAGATATTTCAAGTCTTTCTAGATGTTTGTAAACAATTCAGAATTGTGCTCAAATTCACAGAAACAGTGGTTGCTTCTTTCCAGACAGATAGTGAAATCACAAAGGTCCATACCATACTTCTTTCTTAGGCAGTACTTGTTGACTTTAGCCCTGCTGCTTAATTCAGAAATGATGATGTCATGTTCTTCCAAACAGTATACAGATCCCTTGAAATAAGAAAAACCAAACTTGAATTGAAATTGGATTTTAATAAATTCATGATTATAGAATGTGAATACATTAAATGTTCACTCTTTTTTCCTCCTGGAGTTTATATAAAGATAAATGGAAAAATCACTGGTCTCAGGCTGTTCATGATCTGAAGCAAGAAATAGGCCACTCCGTTTTGCATATGTTTTTTCTATGAGAACAGAGGCTGCTTTTGAATGCCTACCTGCTCTAAGGTTCTTTCAACTGTGAAGTTTCCTTGTAGGATTCTGATCCTACAAGAACATGAAATAGACCGTGAAATCTTATTTCGCAGCCACATGCCTTGGCAAATGTGAAAAAAGGAAGAGGATTATATTAACTACTGCATTCATGTAGACAAATGTGTTTTTCTAAATATCCCCCCAAGGTTTGGAATGAACCATACAACAGCAAGAAGCCAAAAGGCCTTTATGAAATAATTTTTCACATCTTGCTCAACTGCTACATGATGTATTCTTGCTTTATATACAATTACAACAAGGATTGTAATCTGATTATCTGGCTCATTGAAGATCAGGTACTTTGCTCCAAGTATATGCTAGATACTTACAAGGGAACACAGAAATAAGTAATTTAAGTAGGTTTTACTTAAGGCTAGAACAGAAATAAAACCCCTAAATACAACACTGCATTGTACTGCCTAAGCTGTAGATATGAACCAAGTCAGAATAAACACAGAAAACGATGCAAGCTACCAAGGAGTGTTACGTCAGGTTGTCTTCATTTCTGTTGAAAGAAAAGAGACAGGAAAAAGTCAGTAAATAGTTTTAAGAGTCAAACAGAATGGATCTGTAAGGCCATTTAGTACTGGGGCTGTCTTAGTTTCTTTTCTCATTGCTGAGACAAAATACTCAACCCCTGCAAGTTAAGAAAAGAAAGATTTATTTAGCTCACAGTTTGTAGAGGTTGCAGTTCATGGTTGGCTGGCTTCAAGGTGGGGTGGCAAGGTAGAGGGGTATCACAGGGGAAAAACAGTTCATGGTGGGCAGAAGGCAGGAAGGAAGCAAACTAAAAGGAAGCAAGCAGTGACCGTCTCTCCTATCCCAGCAACATGCCCTTAGGGTGGGCAGCACTCACACCCAGGGTGACCCTTCTAGTTATCCACACTCAGAACTGTGCCGACCCAATCAGTGGACTGCTTTAGTAATCACACAGCCTGACATCTGGGACAAGAGCCATCATGGGGCAATTAACCCAACATGTTTCTGTCACTCTTCAAATCATTCTTGGATGTTTACATAAATAGGGGCTTGGCATTAATTTTTGTGTGACAATTGTATTCTTTAATAAATTTTGTGAAGGTAATTTCAGATGTGGTTGTAAAAGTCTAAACTGCAAAAATTAATGTATCACATAACTTAAGGCTAAAAAACTTTACTAAATCAAACTTATTCTACAGCCCAAATAAGATAGTACTTGGCTACTATTTTCTTCATGTTAACAAAGTTGCATTAAAAAGGCAAAAAAATTTCAAACATTATGCACTTGAACATTCTGAAGGTATTTTTTGTTCTGTTTTGCTTTTTAATGGAAAGTACAAAAGCTAAATTCCTGTGGGATTGTGCGAGATTTAAAACCTATGTATATCATCGGGAAATAAGAAGTAGACAAGACTCTCACAAGGTGACAAAAATGAATGTATTTCTTCTTTTAATTTTATTTTGGAGTGTTTATAGCTACCTAAAAATTATTGGTTCCTAGTTTTTTATAAATTTAAGCTATTAGAACAATAGGTCAGAGCCTCTGGATTCAGTTAATTAGAAATTTGGGAGCAGTCTCCACCACTGCCACCACCAAAACTCAGTACTAGAAATAGTGGATAGATAGCCTGACCTTTAAAAATGTGTAAAAACACATGTTAAAGGAGAGAAAGAGAAAGAGATGTACAAGCAGGCAAGAATACAAAAGTGATGACTGAGTCACAGAACACATGGAATAACAACCTTCAACCCCACTATGTAAGAAATTCCTAAATTTTCTGTTTTGAATATTTTATGGACATATTCTGTTATTTTCTTTATCTCCTTCTCCCTTCTTTTCCTCCTTCCCTCCACTATTCCAAATACAAGATTGGGGTTTTTAAATTTTTTTTTTTAGGGTTTAGAGTATTTTGGTCATGAAACACAAATACCAAACTGATTTAAAAGAAAGATGAAAAAATACAGTGTATAGCATAATTACCTAAGGTTTTGTTGGAAGTGGAGTCAAGCCACTGTCTTTATTCAGTGCTCAAGAACTCAAGAGTTCATAGAGTTTAGAATTTCATCAGCCAGCAAAGTTTCCATCAAGTGATGGTATCTAAAACTTCTTTTTCAGTGAAGGATGTTAGAGAAACTTGTGTGTAAAAGTTTATTTCAACAGAGTCAATATAACCTGAGAATAAAGGTCACACAAACTGTATCCACTTAATTGTTACTGCATCATTCTGTTCTCATTTTTACAATGTTCTCATTTTTACAATGATGCAAGTGATCACACATTTGACCAACAATTCCACTTTTGTAAAAAAAATTCCACCATCTCTTATGTCTGCTCAGTTTTAGGTAAAAGGAGATAGTAAATATAAGAAAAGCAAGTGGTGAAATATGTGTCCTGGTGACTTGTTTTCTGTGAGTTATGGAAACAAGAAGCCAATTAGGTAGGGTTTAAGGATCTCAAAGGCAAAGGATCATTGCATACTTGGATTTGTGATTCTAGGCGGCCATGCTGAGTGGTCCTCCAGTCACCTGGGCTATGGAGGAAAGGAGGCTTAGATTAGCCTCCTTAGATCTTCAGCTCCTGGAAGAAGGGGAGAGCCCCTCTAGTGGGAAGGAGGCACACCCCAACTTTATGGCTCATACTCAAGGGTTACTGAGTGGGTCAGGCAGAGCCAACCAGAACTTGGACTCTGCTGCTAGCCAGCACCTGGTGCTGACCAGAAGAACTTCTGGAATCTGAATTTTCTTTGTTATTGAACCAGGAAGTCACATGAGCCCCTTTTCCTTAATCTCCAAAACAGTATCCTAAAGAGACAGGAACCTTGAAAGAAAATGATAATTTAAGAGAATGTTTAAAGTTTTTGATCCTAGGTTGCCAGAACAGATTCAATTTAACTTTTCCTCATAACCCATGAAGATAAGATGTTTGAGAGAAAACCTAAGTTAGTTAAGGAAACTAAAGAATTACCATTTGCTTTGCATGGCTGAAATTGGTTTGTCACCTGGCCAGCCTGTAAGGGCAGGCTGTTATTGTGAGTCCTAGAGGATATTTCCAAATTCTGCCACATTGTAAAGGCTTTGAGTCTTTCCCTCTGTCTTGAAGAATCCTGGACTATGGTATAAAGAAAAAACAACTCTTAGAATCCATAATTAGGCAATTGCTGTTAATGATTATACTTGCAAGCCTTAAGTCAGTATTAATTATAATTGTAGTCTACATATGTTGCTGTAAACATCCTTCCCAAAAGTGATTTTTGGGTTTTTAATCTTGTAAATTCAACTAAGATATTGAAGGAAATGCCTTGACAACCGAAGCATTTCACAAGCCTGTCTCAAGAACATTATTAAACATTGTGAGCCTATCTATGAAAGCCAGAACCATCAATAGTTTTTACGTATGATCATTGGCTCGTTTTCAGCTGACCCTGAGAGAGACAATGTTCTGACATCACTATCATAGATTAATTTTTACTATAATGATTAAAATATGAAAAAAACTCAAAAATGATAAAACCAAATTGTAAGATACAAAATTGGATTTTTACACATTTGATCCATATCCATGGGATCTTAGAAATAATTGCCAAATCTTAGCCTAAGAGCAGAATCAGTATGCATGTTTATTTTTCAAAATTTCTAAATTAGGGCTAACCTCTGCCTTAAATACTATGACTTTGTTATTGTGTTCATCTTGATTAAAATGTCAGATGCTGTCAATTTATCATATAAACTGTGTAGAGTATATTGTTGTATTGCTGCTAAGAAACACACGATTGCTTTTGACCACCCCCCATCACAGTAGGATATCATTGCTGGGTGTATAGAAAAAAAATCTTAATTATATTCTTGGTGATCCTGGCTTGAAGTCAGTCTTGTTTTATTCTACTTATAAGCTTTTCAAAACGAAGAGTAATGGGAACTTAGAGGAACAAAATGACGAGTTCTTACCTAAGGTAAGTTGAGAACCAGAAGTGAACTAAAAACAAATCAGCCAAAGAGTAACTTTTTTTTTTTTTGGATTTAGTTTTCCATGGTTTGCTAGAATACAGAGTAACATAACTTAGAATAAGACAAGCAAGGCTCAGAGAGAACTAGATAAGTTTACCAATTTCCTGCTAATGGCTTATATAGGGTCAAATGTCACTTCCGTGTATGCTCTTTCTGTGAGTCCCACCGACTTGAAATATCAAAACAGAAGCCCGCATGCAGCCTAATGTGACCCTTTTGGCATCTTCCTTATCCGTTCTCTTTCCAGACACATTACTTTTTTTTTCTGCTGTCTTCATATTTTCCAATTCTTCCACTTTTAATTCATGTTTTAATATTTTAACTTCTAAAAATCTTTAGTCTATGATTGTTCCATTTTTTAACATTCTATATCAATTGCATAGATGTTGTATCACCTGTTTTTATTAATGATTGTTTCTTGTATCCTCCATATATCTATATTATATATATATATATATATATATATATATATATATATATTCTCACATACATACTGACATGTAATTGGTCTCAGATCTCTGGATTTCTGATTAGAGCTTTATCAAATGCTTGGGTGATTCATGCATGACTTGACTTTCTGAGAGTGAAGCAAACCTCTCAGAAAGTTTCGTGTATACTAATGAAACTAATTGGGTGGTGCTTTGAAACAGGATGATCCAGTGGGATTTTTAAGAAAAGTTATTTTCTTAGTACATGTTTGCAGTTCATGCAGTTTACAGTCATCTTGGGTAGTGGTTGCATGTATATACCACAGCTTCTCTCTTTTTAAATTCCTTTCCCTTGCCTCCCTCCTTCAACTCTCTGTCCCATTGTTTCATTCTAGTTGTTGTTATTAACCTTAGCTCACGTCACGGCGTATAGTCTTCACATTCATTTAGGTTATTAGCATCCGTGGCACATCTTTATTATACTTACTTCCCCTTCTCCTTCTCACCCTTTGCACTTTTTCCATTGGACCCTTCCCTACTGCAGGAGACACTTGTCCTTGCCCCCTTTAAGGTGGATGACTCTAAGTGTCACAGCGACAGGTTTTTTTCTCTCAGGCTGGTGAGTTTTCTCCAAGAGAAATCTATTCTTGTGTTTAGCAGAAATCCAGTTATCAGTACATTCATAGTGAGAGGCACCTCAGCGGTCCATGCAATATGACATTTCCAGTTAACAGGTAGGACGCTGTGGTATGTCTCTGGCCATGTTTTCAGGGTAGCATTGTTGCCTTATGCTGTATTGGTATTGCAGGGTCCAGAGTTAACTTGATTCTTCCAAAGCAGGTGGTTCCTTGATAGCAAGGGTAGGTATGGGCAGAATGAAGAAACAGTGTAGGTGCTGGCAGTTTCCCTCAGGACTCCCAACTAGATACTCCCAACCACAGAGGTGCCTGATCATTCTGATTCCTGGGCATGGTAAGACTCTGCAGCGTGATCTTCACCAATCCCACAGGCTCTTAGCTTTTAATTTTCTGTCATCTTAATGAAATTACTATTCACCCTTTGATTCTCATCTTCCAAAATATGGTTGCTATCTTTTTTCTCCTCTTTCCTCTTACCTTTTTAATCCTCTGTTAGCCTTTTTAGGGGAAAGGACCCATTTGTAGTCATTATACTTACTACCATTTCTAGAAAAATCAGAGATCATCCTGTTTCAAAGCACCACCCAATTAGTTTCATTAGTATACACGAAACTTTCTGAGAGGTTTGCTTCACTCTCAGAAAGTCAAGTCATGCATGAATCACCCAAGCATTTGATAAAGCTCTAATCAGAAATCCAGAGACCTGAGACCAATTACATGTCAGCATGTGTGTGAGAAAAAAAATATATATATATATATAAAATAAATCTATATAATATAGATATATGTGTACAGTACCTCACTTAATTACCTCATTTAAGACCTCTGTCCTCTAGGCTTTAACCACATTGCCCTTTCCTTGTTGCCTCTAGAGCATCTTAGAATCTTTGTGTTGTGTTTCTTGAAACACTGTTCTTTTCTGGAAACATTACCCTCCTTCCAGATACCCATATTTCTTTTTCTTTATTTCTATTTCTTTATTTCTAACATAAGGAGATCTTTCTTGATACAACTGCAGGCTGTGTTCTTTCTGCTGTAAAAATGCAGAGCACCCTGTGCTTCAATTTTGGGTGCAGTGAATTACCTATGAGGGAGTTCAAATTAGGTAAATCATATAAATCCTTTCCCCTTCAAACATGCTCAACAAGCAAACGTATCTGTAACTGCCTCCTATATATTATTTATGATGGAAAATGATCAATCTCCCTAGGATCTTGAGTTTTGTCTCAGCACTTATTTGCCCCATGCCTGTCTTTTGTCTATCCTTAATCACTTCCAAAGGAGAACAATCTATTTCTCTATTTCATAAACAGTTGCAAAACTTTACATTCCTTTTTCTTCCCTGGGTTGTGCAATAGTCATGCACCAGCGGAACAGCTCTTAACTTGAAGTGTTGTACCCGACAGCTCCCATTCATTTTCTCAGCCGTGCTTGTCGTAATTCCTCAAGGAACACCAGGTCCCCCTATACCCAGTTATACCTTTCATTGCTTCTTTCTGTTCACAAAAGAAGATGAGTTTCTAGGTCTTTGGAATTTTTCCCACAAATACAACCTAATTCATTAATGATAATTTTCTTTGCCTCACATCTGAGCTCAGACATAGTCACTCCCGAATTATAAAGCCAAGAGGAATTTGAATCCTTTGACAATCCACGTGCCATACCCCTAACCTTGAATAGATAATAGATGCTAATAAATTCAGGGTCTTAAAAATGTGAATTATAGTCATTTCACACTTCGTGGCAGCTTCATGCTGAAGTAATAGCTTAAAACTTAATTACAATGCGTGTCCCTCCTTTAAGTGCAGATGACATCCCACAGATAGATTTTTGCAGTGGCATCTGAGGATCGAAATTGAGACACTAATTAGTTATTCATGATGGAGAATATTGACTGTGTACTGATTAAAGGAAAGTGTTGATACCCTTCTTAACATGATGCATCTGTCTATTAGTTTATAGCTGTCCCATGGTCCTCATGGAAAGCTCGCTGGGAAATGATGGAAGTGCCCTTCAGCCTCATCATGCAGATGTATAAAGAAAATCTGTGTATGATGAATAAGATCAAAGGGGCAAGCAGCAGGCATTAAGTTTCTTCTGATTATGGAGATGGGTGGTTTCATTTTCAAGGACTGTTTGTGAGACACAGCCTTGGTAGATTGGACAGGGCCCACTCTGAGGGCTCAAGAAGCTATTATTCAATACATTCCAGTTCTTAGTGGGCTCATTCTGAGGCTGGAGGTCAGAAGGGAGAAGACAGCATATGGAGGATCTTGTCTTCCATCACATAAGCCCATAGCATGAGCCAGGCAGCAACGAAGTTAGGAGTCAAGGTATAGCCTCCCTTTCTTTGTGCAAAGCGTGATGTTCTCACACAAGATTCCTCTGCTCTTTATTCTAATGACCTAAGTGGCTCCAGAGTGAAGGGACAGAACTGAAAGTGAATCAGATTAGTAAAAGAAAGCACTTTCTAATGGTCTGCAGTAGTCAGCTGCCTCCGCTGATAGGCGTAAGTGTCCCATCACTCAAGGCACAGCTGACTGTCCCATCAGGGTGATTATAGAGGTGGTTCAAGCATCAGAAGGGGGGATTTTAACTTCATGACCTGTCAAATATATGCTGCTATGAAGCTTCAAAGACGCAGGGTTTCAAGTACTGCTCACAGATCCATTTTACTAGGAGTCCATCATTAAGTTTAAATTCCTTAAAATGCTCTCTTATTGGAGTGGTTGAAGGTCAGATTCTGTGGTCAATACTTATTCCTTTTTTCCCTTAAACTGTGAGTAGTTTGGAGAACAGTTCATTTTCTTATGGTGGTTTATAAATTTCAAAGCACTTTCACAAATGGCCCCTCAAAAACTTTCTGAAAGGCTAGGACACATTGACAGAGAGGGAAACAGGAATGATTATGAAACTTCTTGTTTAGTATAGTGAAAATTTTACATCCTTTCTTTCCACTAGTGCTATTTTAAGAAATCGGTCGGTAAGGCAGTCACAGATACTGCTGTGGTCAAGGTCAGGAGCAGAGCTCTG